AGAGATGTGTTGCTCGTAAGGAAAGCGTTTGGAAGATCTATAAGAAGCGTGTTACATGTAAATTTCAGTGAGTTTTATTCAATTATTGGCCRAGCAAAAACGTTTGCCATCAATGCAGATGGCGCAAACGGAAGACAAAGTCTCCCTTTCTACGTCTGAGCAGTTTGAGGAMTCTTCTAGTAAGAAAACGAAACGTATTACACCAAATCCTTCACAAGCAGCAAACGCATCATGGCTAGTTGGGGATGTAGTTTGGGCGAAGATTCCCGGTCATCCTTGGTGGCCATCGATGGTAGCTTACGACCCTAACAGTGCCGTWTATTTCCAGTACAAAGGACGAGCTAGGTACTACCATGTGCAGTTTTTCGGGCAGGATCCAGTCCGCGGATGGGCCTCGGAAAGGTCGGTGATAAAGTTCGAAGGTAAGCACACTCCTGTACATCCTCAATGGAATTATAAGCTTTGCATCTTTCGTTTTACTAAAGCGATCGCACTGCATGTATGTCCACAATGCAGCCTTATATTTGCCTTAATCTTAATTGTACATTTGATAAGTTAAGRGAAATTCTCTTTGCTTTGAGGAGTMCAAATTCATAGAGCGTTGAAAGTTTCAAATGCTATTTCWTGCCCGCCATTTTCCTAGCTATTGCAGATGTACCTTAGAAAAAACAGTACGAAAAAGCGTTTTTGGAGGGGATATATTCCCTAAAACGCTTTGCAGGCCAATGTTTCTAACTTTACTAGAAGCTCACAGTGAGATAGCCATCCGATTCTAAGTATCTATGAGAATGTGCCGTACGCCAAGCGCAAGAAATTGATTTATCGCAGTCAAATATTGGAGTCGACCATAATAATTACCGTTTCAGAGCGCATGGCAAAGTTTTCTCGGCCAACGGTAGCAGCTGTTTTSAGCGTTTGTAATTGAAAGCCCTACTTTTGGATGAAAACATTRTCACTRCAGTCRAGAAGATAAGAATTATTTCCCATTTTCRCATTTTTTTCTTTTTCGTTTAGCACACTTTTTAGCARAACTCATTAGCTCATAAAGAGCACTATTATTAGTGTTTGGAATTTGTTAGAAATCYCACCTGATTATTTTTAGTGCATTGTTTTGACTGTAAAAAAWYGTTTTCTTTTCATGTCACAAAGTCAAGATTGTTTGCTCATTTTATTGGAAACCCAATTGGGAAGGGAACGTTTTTTAGAAAGAATACATTAGCTCATTACTGAGAACAACTGTGTTTTAATCAAATGGGAATGTGTTAGATTGGGTGGCAAAATTAATGTTACATTATCAACAATGTTGATATTATAGTCACTTTGAGGTGATAACTATCAAACAGTTGTTGAAAATTCAAAGTGCCTCCACTTCAATTAAAAGTCTTGTTTCTTGTGTCCATTCTTGTCAATAAATATCCACATCGTGAATATAGTGTTATTGTACATTTGATACATCAAAGGAAACTACTGACATTTCTTTTGTCACATGTCAGTAATTACAAATGCTACCTTTATATAGTTTTATATTCTTATTTTTACTCGATTTATCCCCATTAAAGCAAAAGTCATTCAAAAACAAATTCATTCTCAAGGATTAGAGCTTCATTATCAATTGAGCATTCAGTAAAAAAGAGYCAAAATGTCATTTGGTTTCTTCTTAATYGTTTTTTGATAATGTTTTGCAAGTGCAGTCTGCTTTTGACCATTATTGATTAATATACTAAGTTAATGATTAATTAATTGGTTGTTTGGATGATTAGAAATTGACTTGGCAATTGACTCAAATGTACACTAAATTTTTATTACCGTTATTCACAGGGCTAGAGAAGTTTGAGGCATCAATTCATGCCAAAAATCATCGCGTAACAGCAAGGAGAAGGAGTCACTGGGACACTGCTGTGAAAGTTGGAGAGAAAGCTTTGCCAATGAACAGGCATGAGAGACAATTGTGTTTTACATTTAAATATTATGATAAACTTGCACAAAAATACCCGCAAAAAGTAAAGGGACTGAATGGAATCAATGCCAATGTAAGCCCTACATCTCCTACTAAAACTAGCCAACAAAATAGTTCTCTATTGGTTGATAGTATAGCTGTTCCATCAGACATTACAAATACTGACAAAGAAGATGAAATAGACAGTGCAAAGAATTTGAAAACAAAGTCATCAAGGAAACGAAAGAGAAAGCAGACTGATAAGGATTTGAATTTACCAACTAGTGACACATTATCTCCAGAGACAACTTCWCCATCTGAGCAAACTACCAAACAGAAAAAGAGAATACGAAAGCCAAAGAAGAAWGATCTTGATGAACTTGACCTCAAACCACAAGAATTGCATTTTCAAAATGGAATAACTCAAGAGTTACCAATAAATGGAGGCATTTCACCTACTACTGCATTAAAGCTTAAAATAAGGAAAGTCAAGTCACCTGTAGATACTGGAAAATCTGGTAACAAACGTGGTAAACCTCCTAAGGAAACATTTATCATTGTAAATGATCTAGAAAAACCTGATAATGTTAGTAAAGACTCAACTGACAGTACAAGTACAACATTACCAGATAACAGTAAGCCTGAAGTAACAAGCACAAGTGTGTTAAACACTGAAGAAAAACCCAAGCAAAGAAAAAGAAGAAAGATCGAAAGCAGCTTTGTTACTAATGATACAGCATTTAAAGAAGAAAAACCCAAACCAAAGCGAAAATATGTTCGTAAAAAGCAACTACCTGKAACTGACACCAATAAGTTTGAACAAGAGGACACTAAAGTGAATGAAGTAACTAGTTCAGCTGACATTATTGTAAATAAAAAGCTTTCAAAACAAGAACTTGCTTTAGAAGCATCAGAAGCTAGTAGTGTCATCTCAAGTAATGACAGTGAGGTCGGCAGRTTCAAAGGTGTTTCACTTACTAAAAAAGAAAAGGCAGAAAAAGAACGTGAAGCTGTTTGTGTAGTTTGTGAACAGTGTAATGACCTGATATTCTGTGAAGGAGGTTGCTACAATGCGTACCATCCTGACTGCATAGGACTTTCAACTGCGCCTAAAGGAAAGTTTATCTGCGATGAATGCACATCGGGAATACATTCCTGCTTCATATGCCGACAAACGGGAGATGTGAAACAATGCTGTCAACCTTTATGTGCTAAATATTACCATATTGAATGTGTAAAAGGCAATAATTGCACTAAATTTGACGGAGACCGTTTTTTCTGTCCATTACATTCCTGCGTAACTTGTGTTGTAAKTAAAACACCTCATAGCCGAGGACGTCAAATCCGCTGCGTACGATGTCCAACTTCCTATCATTTATCAGGATGRCTGGAGGCTGGCTGTATGCCGATAACATCTCATCTTATGGTCTGCGCAAAGCATTTTATTCCTCACAAGAACAAGGCTCATCATTCTCATGTCAATGTAAACTGGTGCTTTGTGTGCTCTATTGGTGGTACGTTAATATGCTGTGAAAAGTGTCCAGCAGCTTTTCATCCAGAATGCATCAGCTATGAAGGGATTCCTGAGGGTCATTTCTTCTGTAAGGAGTGTAATGGTGATAAAGCTCTTCTTTATGGGGATATAGTTTGGGTTAAACTTGGCATGTACAGGTATGTTTATTGAACCAAATCACAATTGCAAAGAAAAATCCCTTGCTTATCTTGTATTAAAGATGGTTCATGTTCTACCTGGAAGTCCTTGAAAAGCTTTGGAATTGAAAACTTTTCAAGGCCACTCACTATCTATACAGTATTATTTAAGCGTTGATTGATTGTGACTGAATTGTATCCACAGATGGTGGCCAGCACAGATATGCAACCCTCGTGAAGTGCCAACCAACATTCAGAGCATGCGGCACCAGCCTGGTGAATTTCCAGTTATGTTTCTTGGTAGTCATGACTACTACTGGATACACAAAGGGCGTGTGTTTAGTTATCAGGATGGCGATAAAGGCACTGAGTCCAATAACAACAAATATCTGGAGAAGATCTTCAAGAGTGGTACATGAGTTGCTGTTTGTTTTAAAACAAAAAATTGTTTGACAAATATTGGTGTCTTTAATTTACTTCCTTCTTTCCTTCATTTTAATTATCCCTTTTTTCATTTTCTTTCCTCCTTCCTTCCTTTCCCTCCTTTTGTTCTTCCTTTCTTTCCCTCTTTCAGCCTTCCTTCTTTCATTCCTTTACTCCTTTTATCATATCTGACTTTCTTCTTTCTGCTGTGTCTCATTTCCATTCTCATATTTTCCTAATTTATTTTCATTTATACTTTTAATATTGTGTAAAATTATTGGTCTAGCTGATCGAATTATTTGTCAATATTTTCAGCTTTAGTAGAAGCCAAGGAAAAATATGCTGAGTGGAAAAAAGCCAAAGAAATCAAAGCAGAACAAGACCTACAAAAAATGTCCAAGAAACCTGCTCCATTCAAGCATATTAAGGTACCACAAATTTTAAAATAGGTTTTGAACACTCATTTGAAAATTGGACTTCTTCTGCCTTTGATGTATTATATTCAAAATTCCCTAAATCCCAAAACGATGTTTGTATCTGTGTCATAGTTTCTTATCTAATTGATTAAGTTACGTGATTAACAAAGTAATTTGATTGACAACATAAGAAAAGGCAAGAAATTGTCATGTAATGTGTTAAACATAACTTTGAATAATGACAGGTAAATAAATGCACAACAGCGCTACGTATAAACAACATTGATCCAAGCGACATGCCTATATGTGAGTGCACTCCAAAGGAAGGTGTCTACTGTGGTCCAGACTCAAACTGCCTGAACAGAGTACTTCAGTTTGAATGTACAGCAAAGTGCCCTGCACAGGATAAATGTCAAAACCAACYTTTTGTCAAGAGGGAGTATGCTGACCTTGAGCCATACCGTGCATTGAATAGAGGTTGGGGTCTAAAAACTAAACAAGGTATGGTTGTTGTTTTTGGAAAATTTATTTATTTACAGCTGTTTCAGAAAATGACATTGTATTCCTAATACTTGAAGATGTTGGCTGACTGGGCTAAGATTTTATAGACAAAGAGAATTACAAGTTTCTTAATACTTAATACTTAATACTGAAATGCACTTTTGCTTTTTTACTTTCTTCTTAACATAAACAGATATCAAAAAAGGTTCCTTTGTCATTGAGTATGTTGGTGAACTGATTGACGAAGCAACTTGCTTGGAACGTGTAAAGAAAGGTGATGATGACACAAATTATTACATGCTGACAATTGACAAAGACTGCATCATTGATGCTGGCCCAATGGGAAATCTGTCAAGATTTATGAATCACAGTTGTGCCCCTAACTGCGAGACTCAGAAGTGGACGGTCAGTGGGGAGGTCCGTGTGGGTTTGTTTGCAGCTCGTGATATTGCAGCTGGAGAGGAAATAACTTTTGATTACAGACTGGATTGCAGAGGTATTGAATAAAAACAAAAACACTCAAAACGTGTTGCAGTTGAAATGCTGTAGGTGGACTCCTTTTTTATGGGGAAACAGTAATATGAAAAAAACAAAAACAATTGCAAAACATTTATTGTTCAAATGATGTCTAAAGCTACTGACAGAGTTCTAAGATACAAGATTTCACCATGCAATAATATGTCATCATCAACCATCTGCTATTTTTCTAGGCAACGAAAAGAAAAAGTGTCATTGTGGCTCCAGCAACTGCAGTGGTTTTCTTGGTGTCCGACCAAAGACGCAAAATGCCCAAATAACAGAAGACAAAATGAAAAAAGCTGCCAAGAATAAGAAGAAAAGACAAAAGAAACCTGTTGTCAAAGAAAGTAAGTTGTGATTTGTTAAAGTATTTCTTCCTCTAGTAGGGAAAAAAGTATTTCGTTTGAACTTTTCAGAGTGTTGTGCTATCATCACTAGTCATTTGCACAGCAACACATTTTGACCAYAAATACTCTCTATTTTGTATTATCTGACTCAGACACATAATGCTGCCCTGTCAAAGCTAGGATAATATTTGGTTGTTAATAACTTGTGCAGGAAGTAATTGCTTTGCTTGCCATAAAAGCAACAAAATAATGACAAAGGACTAAAGTTTATTTTAATGATTCCTATGTGTGAAGGAACTGGAAGTAAAATTTAGCTTACCAACTTTAAATGCATATATTATTATTATTGTTGTGTTGATAATCTTTTAACCAAACTTGAAGTTCGGTGCATAAATTAAGTTTTTAAACTGTGTGTTAACAAGAACTAATTTTGAGGTAACTACTTTAAGAAAAGCTTTAACATTTAACTGCATTAAAGCATTCAGTAAACATTGTGTTTACTCTAAAACGAATTGCTCTAAAGTGCTACTAATATCTAAAAAAAAGTAAATTAACAATATTGTTATAAAGTTGATTAAATGTGTTCCAGAATCACACAAGAAAGGCAACCCTTTGCAACAGCTCAAAAGCACCATGGTGTCACCACCAACCACAACAGACTCTATAAATGAACAGACATTAAACAATGAGCCTAAATTAACTGGATTAAATTGTGATTCACCATCTCAAGTTAAATTCACTGGTTCATCACCTCTGAACAGTGTCTTACCATGGAACTTTGATCCTTTGCAAGTTGTTCCCTAAAATCTAACCATCTAAAAGGTTGGACATTCATCTTGATAAACGCTTTTATTAAAACATTATGGGAAWAATCACACTTTGCTTGAAGGGCTTGGAAAAATCCTCATACATCACTACAAATTTGCCATAAAAATTGTTTTTTAACTTGATGTTGTCTTTCCCTCCTGCTGTCATTCATGATTGTAAAAACAAATCATATTGCTTATTTGAGATGATTGACAGCTCAGGAAGAAGAAATCCAACACAGAGTTTTGTGTTGTCAGTAAAATTTGTGGTTATTTCTGGTGGGAATTCAAAAGAAAACGTATCAATTTTATTATGACATAATTATAGTATGGATGGCATACTTTTGCGTTTGCATTTTCACAGGCTTAGTTGTTTTGTTTTTTTACCTATTTAATGTTTATGTTTTTGAAACAATAAGTATTTAGGAATTTTGTTTTATTTTCAGTCCATGAAGACGATTGCTTTATATGTGGTGATGGTGGCCAGCTTATCATGTGTGATAAGAATGGATGTGCCAAGTGCTACCATGTCAAATGCCTTGAACTCCCTAAGAATCCACATGGTCGATGGCTCTGTCCTTGGCATTTCTGTGATGAATGTGGCAAAAATGCAACCATCAAATGTATTGAGTGCCCRAACTCATTTTGCAAACTCCATGCTGAAAACCAAGTTATATGTGTCGGGGAAGGAAAGTACATGTGTTTGGACCACAGCACTGAGGAAACCCAGAAAGAKGAAGAAAAACTCCCAGATGTCTCCCAGGATCTTGGTCAATTTTGTAATTTAGGATTTGGAGATGATTTAGTTAARGAAATACCAGGAATTACCTCTTTAGATCTGAAAGATCTTCCTCAAACCCCRCAGGATATGGATCAAGTCCAGTGATTTGCAGAGAAATGTGTACAGAACGTGTATTTTATTAATAGGCATATTTTATTTTTCATCATTCTTAGCCAGATACTGTCATCATTAAAATAAATAGTTGTAGTTTTCAGAGGTAGATGGATATTTTAATTTATCAAATACAGTAAAAATTAGCTGCGGTGAAGACARAAAACCCAAGAAATAAAATAATGCAGAGAAAAGTGATGAAGATTGCTAAAGAAGTCTGTTACTGTATATGTATGTTCATGGGCTTTTTGACTTCATTTGAAATAATATACCCATGAAATGGGTTGTGTTCAAACTAGAATCATAGAGTCGTTTCCATTTGACCGCTCAATGAAAATGACTAGTTAGTATTTGTTGGTAAAGAAGAAAAGAAAACAATAGATTCAGATTGCAATGCTWACTATTAGTCTCACTAATATTTCACGGTCAAATGAAAGCAACCCTAAATCCATTCGTTTTTTGAGTAATGTTTAATTCTGATATTTTGTACAAGTAATTACTATTGATTTTGTTTAGCCATGATTTTGAGTGATTCTCTGTCATCTGTTAAGTGAAGCTATCTGTTTGTTTGAGGTCCTAAAGGACACAAACACTACTACAATAGTCAACTTTAGATATTTTGGTTTGATTACTATGTACAAAAGAACGCACACAAGGCTCCGGGAAAACAATGGATAATCTTGATTTATTCTTTTATTTCCCTGAAGCCTCGTCTGCAATTCTTTTGTGCATGGTCACTGAACCAAAATATCTAAAGTCGGCTATTATCTTGCCTGTTCTCTCTGATAAACAATGATGGAAAAACTCTCTAATACTATAGAATACTGTCCTGATTTATTAAGTGTAAAATATACAAAATAATGTTTCCCAAGACTGTGGCATAGTTGCTTTGATATCGTCTTCAAATTCGGCTCTCATTGTAACTGTGATACAAGGAATAACATGAATAGGATTGAAATTTGAGTACTGTAAACATATGGGGACTGATTAAACTGTTTTAATGATAGCGCACAACAACAGAAAAAAAAATCCATGTTACAGTTATTGAAGAGTATATGGTCAGAATATGCAACCTCAATCTGATTTTTTTAAAAGTTTTTACTATATGATAGTCTCATTGACAGTTCCCTGTACTTTCTTTTAAGAAAAGTAGCTGCGTTTTCATCAAAGGGCGATGACTGGTGAACTGGCAATGATAGAAACCTGGGAAAAATTGRTTGCTGCAATAAGGAAAGGTTTTCATCATTGCACCTTCACTTGTAATGCTTGGGTGCAATTGCACAGCTACCTTTAAGAAGGTGGAGAGAACTGCAAAGGAGACAATTGCATACTCTACAGAATTCTGTGCAAATTTACAATGCAGTTGACAATGATATGAACAATGTTATTTAGCAATAAACAGAGATGAGACTAGTGTGTGATGATTAGCATTTTGTCAGCTGTTAATTAAATAAAAAGTTGAATAAAGAAAAAAAATAGTTTATAGATCTAATACAAATCATGATTCCTGATGAAGTACAGTCTCCTTTGCAGCCTGCCCTTTTGTCGGGCTTCAAAGGGGAGGCTGCAAAGGAGACTAGGTGAAATATAAGTTAGTAGTAAGTATTTCCAATTTTGGTTGGCAATTCAGCAAACACTGAAATATTTCACTTCAGTGATGCAACAGACTGTGAAACGATCAAATATGCTAATATTCCTACTTCACGGGTTTACTGACTTCCCAAATGAAATGGTTTGTGGGCTACCTGTGTCGTACCCAGTCTTCCAACGTTCTCCCGGGAGACTTAAAAATGGCTGCCAACTTGTTCGCCATGTGCTTTTGTTATGGCTGGAGTTTTCCTGTTCAAAAATGCTCACAAGAAAAGGTAAGGAATGAATTATATTCAGTGTTTGATTTAAAGAAGGAAGAGTCCTTTTATTGACTTTTAACTGTTAGTGTTGTATCTGTTTTCTTACATTTCATCGACTTATAATTTTCTTGAGTGACAAGCTAACTAACATGGATTTAAGCGTATTTTGGATCAATTTTTATTACATTTCAAAGACTATGGCATACTAAAAGTACTTAGTTTTTTGGAGATTTTGGATTGACAGGAAAATATTGACTTGAATGCTTCCCCCTCCCTATAAGTATATACCCCAGCCACTTGCACATAAAAACAACAAATTACTAAATTATGGATAATGTATGCATCAGCCACCTACAACTGACTAACCCATGAAATAGCAGAGTACTAGACCTTAGACAATGTCTAATGTTATACTAATTTCCTGCTAATAAAAGTTGAATGTCCAATTGTTCCCAACCCCAGATCAACAAGGAAATACACAAATTATTTAAAAACAAAAACACCAAACAAACAAGAAATAAGCACACACTTTTATTGCAACTCATAAACCTTTACTCATTTCATTCACACTGGCTGTCAATTCATAAGAATTAAAGTCATTTGGCTGAAAATTCTCAAAGTCTCACAATCACTGTAATATTCCATTTTGTCTGCCCTGCTGGACAAGTTGTTTTTCAAAGTAAAACGCTAATTGAGGCATGTTCATTTTAGTCTAATCTTTTTTTGAATGAACCGATACATTCCCACTAATTTCCATTCTTGGTAGGCAAATGTAGTTAATGGTCCACAATGCTGACTTCGCATATTTTCAATGATTCATTTGCCAAATGTTTTGCTCATGTAATAGTTGATACTGATATATTTTTGTTGTTTATTATTCACAGATGCTCAATTGTCAGTAGATTGACACAGAGGTTTCTTGCTTCTCAGCTGTCTGGTCATATTGTTTAACTTTAGTCTGTCTTGATCCCGCTTTCCTTCTTTCCTTCTGTCTTCTTGAGTCTTTCTCTTTCATRGTTCTCTTTTCCCATTTCTTTTAATCACCAACTCTCTTTTCTAAATTCCTTAGCTTCTCAATGCTCTTCAAAGTCCCTCTCTCAATCTACATCTTGTTTTCTACTTTTTTTCTTTTTCCTGCCTTTTCATTCCCAACTACCTCTTCTTCCAATTCTCTTCATCCTATTCTCGTCTCTGCTCTTCTATTAATTAATACACCTCAACATTTCTTCATTATAATATGGCAGATTATTGGGTAACATTATTGTACAAAAATGAAATAAAAGTACCCCTTGACCTCCCCCACCCCCTCAGGACACAACTGCTGTCTTGAGTACAAATAACCCACCCCAATGAACAGTGCTGCTTCATTCTTTACTGTTGTTCAAGTTACTAATTTGATGTTTAAGGCTMTGTCCACACAATGCACTAAACTTTGTATCCTKAAGCTTTTTCTCATAATAAAAAAAATGTTTGGGARTGCWRATATTCAATTGAAAATGTTTTCCAGAACTTCCATTCATTTCATAAACAATTCTGACATTGTGTGGATTTGGCTGTAAACAGGTATGGAAACTGCACATATTTCTATAGTTTGACAAGTTTACTGATAACAGTTTTTTGGGGTTCAAAACCGGTTCCATATTGAGTATTGCAGTTTCTATTCTTGTTGACTGTGATTTGCTTGAATATTTTGTCACTTGTCACACTCTCTGAGCTTAGTTCCTATGAAAACAACTGCAAAATTATCATTATTAGGAAAGGAAATGGTCCCTGGTATATAGAGACCTTAAGATACACTGCATAGGGTAACAAAGCCATTCCTGTACTTGTAAACMAATGACAAGTAGGTTATAGYGTGCYGCAGATTTATAACATTACATTTGGGATTCCATGGACATGTTTTGAACAAACTGCAACTAGATTAAGATTTTAACAGTGTATCTTGAGGTCTTTATTATAAAGGCTTACCACACAGATACAATGAACTATCAGAGTTAATGCACTTAATCCATTAAAAGTACTACAACAAATTRCCATTGAACTCTATTGAATTATGTAAATATATATAGATTAAGTGCATTCACTTTATAGTGTGAGCAGAGCAAGTTTTCTTCCCTTTCTCCTTTTATCCAGTGAAGGGGATGAAAACTTGCTCTGTTTTCAATCTTACTGAGGATGTTGTAATAATTTATGTTAATTATGTAAATTTATGCAAAATAAAATACTATGGAGGATTACGTCTGAGTGTCAAAATATTTTCTGTCTTATGCAAAATATTCTTCTACATACTATTTATTAGGTATCTACTAGGTATCCAGCATACTACCTCCTGGGTTATTTTAGACAGCCCACCCCCCTCTGTCCTCTCCCCCCTATAATCCCCCCTCCCCTATCTCCCCCCTCATCCGTTGAGGTCCCACGGGGCCAACGCTGCCCCTTGGGACCTCATTTGGTGATGGGGGAGGGGTGGTACTTGACCAACCCACCCCCACCTGGTACTTGACCACCCCACCCCTGCTGGTTGCTTGACCACCCCACCACTGCCTATTGCTTGACCACCCCACCCCGCCTATTGCTTGACCACCCCACCCCTACCTACTGCGACCACTCCGCCCTTGTTTACTACTTGTTTACTATTGCATTAACGTGAGTCCAGAAATAAATAAAACTATAATTTTGGAAATTTATTTTCCCGAAAGAAAGAAATCTACAGCCGAGGTTTGAACTCCTAACCGTCTGATTCATAGCCCAACCACTAACCCACTAAACCATCTAGTCGAAGTTGCTGGTCAGGCTTCGAAAATTAACTTTATAGCAGGTCACAATTCATGCGAATTCAAACAATGACTTTTGATGTTGAGTGGTTTGAACCAGCAATTCACTTGATGGCTTGGTGTTCAAGACAGCAGACTACTGGACAGAAGGTAAGCTAGCAGGTAAGGGTTCAAATCACAATCTAACTGATGTTTCTTTCCTTTCGCAGGATAAACACTAAACTTCCTTTACACAGGTTTCTTAAAAGCGCGCACAACATAAAGCTTAAAACGTAAACATCCATAAACAAATAAACGAATTAAACACATAAACACAAATAATTACTATAAAAATATAAAAAAATCTAAATCTTCTAAAAATAAACTTTGCCAGAAAAAATAGACTATTAAAATCAAACGCTTTCTTAAATCATCGACAAAAAGCAATAAACATCTTGAAGAAAAATAAACAAAAAAAAACAATAATTTAATTTAAGTTTGACTTTAACCACATTTTGGACAATCTTCCTTTTTAAGATAAACATTGTAGATTGTAAGTTGACAGCACTATTTCATGGGAGAGGGGACTCTTTTAGTCACTATTACACTAGTATTTCTCTTATTATTTTTCTTACACTACTATATAATGAAACACTGAATCATCCTTTTAATAACAGACCTAAGAGAGTGGTTTTGCAGTCAACCATGATTAGGCTATCTACTGTCGTTRAATGGACCTCATTCATAAAAATACCAATAACACTGTCTACTACTAACATAATTTAGTCTTGATATTCTTTCAAAGCCAAAGGAAAACCCCTGTTAAAATCCCATCTCTGTCTGAGAACCTTTGCCATTATTTATGTTTCACAATGATCTTTTGTTTAAAGGTGTTTTCTGATTGGTTCAAAATCAAAGATAGCAAATTTTCGTACATGAGAAAATGCCGCAAAGGTTCTTTTATGGACTTGGGCCTTTACAATAACCAGATTCACAGTACACACAATGACGCTATTTGGACAATGTGAAATTCTWTAAAAAATTTTAATAAAGTGCCCATATTTTTATCCCGATGTGATTACAATACAGCATGCATACTTTTGTGAATGATAGACTGCACTAGGGRTTTCAACCCTGGGCAATTCCATACCTTGAGATGAAAAATCCAAAGCCAATCCAAAAWGACCATCATTCATTTGCTATATTCATTCACCAGAATCAGGTTAATTTTTATTTTTTTGCAAATAAACTTAAAAATCATTAGAGTTTTTTCCCTTTTTCAGGAAAACCGTGAGGTTTGACATTGCAATCTTGAGACCAGGAGATAAAATCCAAAATTTTGAGACTTCTGGATTGTCAGGGAGAGTTGAAAGCCCTGCTTTGCTATTAGGGGTATCGAATGGTAAAATCAGAGCCTCACCGACATTGCGAGACCTTCGTTTTAAAATTCGAGCCAGAGCCTTTGGCAGAACGAGTCCGATATTACTGCAATTGTGAGCTTCCGAGCCAAAAATGATTTTAAATCCGAGCCCCTTTCTTTTTTAAGTGGCGAGCTTGTGAACCTTGGGAAATTTTTGGAAAGCCTTGCAATTTCTGAGACACCATTCTATACCCCTTATTGATAGAAATATAAAATACTGATAACAATTCTGGAATATTAATAAAGCTTTAAGTTAAAAACGATACCTTTAAACAATACAAAACTATAAGAATTGATAAAAATCTGTGTAATTTTCTAGCTTTAGAAAAAAGCACTATTCACAATCAAGTTCATTTATTATGAACAAAATTATTTTTGTACTAAAATATTATATTAATCCTGTATTTAAACACTCTTTAATCTTATACTTTAAGAGTATATATAATATTTAAAAAGCTGTGCTTATTAGATTGTGGAAATACCTTATAATGTTATTTTGTATTTCAAAATACTATTGAAATTGATGTTTTTCATATTAAACCATAAAATGAGAATTTTGAGATTGAATATTGTTTCATAAGCTTACTTAATACTTTTTTGCATACTTAACTGCCATCAACGTTTTTAAACTAGTAGTAATTTCTATGAAAATTTTGTTCACAAATACACCTACTTTCAACCTTTTTAAGTGTCAACTTTTTTAAACCAGTGATAAGACAGAAAACAGTTTTCAAAAACATAAAAAACTATAATATTGTTAATAATTTTAGACCAGAGTAATGTTTAAAACTAGTATTTCCAACACAATCTTAGTTTAAACTGGTTTGTGGACAAAACTACTGTCAACTTCTTTGAACTAGTGGTACATTGTAAATATTTTTTTTTAATATAAAAATTAATGTCGACCTTTTTAAATCAGTGCTACATCTTTCAGAATTTTTAATTAATTATTAAAATAGATTGGATATAAAAAGTAGTCAGCCTTAACCAGTGGTACATGTTGTATGGTCCAAAAGATTGAATGGTTTTCATATAGAAACAACTGTCAACCTTTTTAAATCAGTGCTATGTCTCAAAGATTTTATAGTTTTTATATAAAAATTACTGTCAACCTGTTTAAACTAGTGGTATATCATTACTTTCACCTGTGAACAATTAAACCAGTTTATATATGGAAACACCAGGGGGTTTCCTTATAACCAATGGCTCGTGCAATGAAGTCCTTGGGTATCCTCTTCAGAAACAGCCTTGCTTCCATGTCTTTCCMRTTTCTYGTGTACAAAACACATATAATTTGCTCCAGCTTAATTCGTATWGAAAAACGATTAGCAAAATCCAATTTGTATTTGAATTGACCACCACTGCCATCRTCATCGCTCAGAAAACTATAAAATACATCGGTGCTGTTATGGAATTGAACCATTGACTGATTACTGCCTGCTTGTCGTAAGATGATYTCAACTGAGTCTAAGAGGTCTCTAGTGTCCATGTCTTCTGAACTTAATGAGAGAGAGCTGCAGTCATCACTGTTTGTGAGTTCAGATGTGTCTGTGGCTGGTCTAGAGCTTGATCTTGATGAATTTGGATGCGAAGAACCAGTAGMGTCTGTGAAACAACAAAAAGAGATTTATTTAGTGATCTTGYGTGTTTTAAACAGCTTAAAAAACTCCCTCCACAACTTGGGTGGGGGTGTGCCGCACGACCCTCAGAACCCTTACCCTATCCCAGACCAATTTTTGTGATTTTACATACCCTACCCCAGACTAAAGGTACATTATTTTACCGCTGAAAGCATGACCTAGCTGATACAATCACAGGCAAAATACCACCCTAGCCCCAGACAATGGGACTATACCCTATACTAGACAAAAAAACCTACCCTATCCCAGACAAATGGGCAAAAAATGATACCCTATCCCAGACTTGGAGCTCCGAAAAAGGGACCCTATTCTGCGGCACATACCCGAATAGCAAATATAGGTTAGTAGGTAGATTGACTATGTCACGACTACAACAGTTGCAGAAAGCTTACTTGTTTTAACAATTGATATGTCGTTGAATCTCATTTGACTAGAAAGAGCATTTGAGTCTCTCATAAACACAGTTCCTTTGGATAACCTTGACACCTGACTTCTTGCATATTGATGCTCATTGCTATCACCGTCTYTATCAGCACTACGTGGGAACGTCACACAAGTGAGAAAGTTCCTCTCTAAAAGATATTGGCCTAAAAAAAATAAAAAAAATAATAATGATGATAAATGATTCATATATAGCAAGTACCAAAAATAGCAGATACATATGACTCATACTGGTCTATTACAGATACAAGATCATTTGAAGTAGAAAGCACAAGTGAGWAATAAAAGATGTTAAGTATAAATTTCTCTTTAACAATAGCATTAAGATTATGACATCCAGAAACAATCTTTGGAAAAGGAGGCTTGTTGATCCACAGATCACRAGAAACAACACAGTGTTCAGAAATGAATGGATCAGAAACTGATATATATCAGTCAAACAGTAGGTCAGGCAAMGACTAATTCCATCAATGAATCTGCCAATCAATCATTCAATAATTCAGTCAGTCAACCAAACACACCATCCATCAGTCAATCTTTTTCATAAATAATCTTTGACATTTTTTTTTATTTTTAACATTTTTCTTACAAAATACTAATATTCGCAATGATAAGCAGCTTACCCAGTTCTATTGCAGTATCGATATCTGATATACCAATACAAACACCAAGACTGTCATAGCCATTCTCTCTCACATAGTTTTTGACCCAAACTACCAAATCRGATCCAGAAAAGCATTTACGTGTTGCATGAAGCTGCAAACGCATGGATTGAATCAAATGATCTGCCGGTTCATGGGCTCTYCTCTGYTGAGATGAACCACTGATAGATGACGTGAACTCATCAATATTGCGWAGTTGGCTGCTTTGTACTGTTAGCATCTGAGAATAAATAATATGACGATGATAATGATGATGGAAATCAAAGTAATGATAAAGATTGGA